AAGAAAAAAGCCGGAAGTGGCGCTGTGGCTCAAGTGGCAGAGCACTAGCCTTGAGCTGAAGAGCTGAGGGACAGTGCCCAGGCCCAGAGTTCAGGTCCACTACTGGACCCTCCCCAAAAGAAATAAACAAGGAACAGGTTGAAGAGTTTAGACTCTATGTAAGGTGCTAGGAAAAGTAAACAAATACCTTGAAAAAATGTATACTAGGTGCTAGGAAAAGTAAATATACCTTGAAGAAACATACACTTTGCTATTACCTACTCTTTTTCCCCTACATCTTAGCACTAAACCTCTCTGGTCATCAGGGGGCAGTCTCAGCAGCTGTTAGCAGATTTATTTGGCCACATGTGCTTCTGCAATGATGCCTCCCAGTTCTCAGAAGATCCTTATCCTACCCTATCATGCTTTTCCTCTATCTAATGGAATGTTTAGGTCCCTCAAACAAATCACAAATTCAGATTCTCATAACTTCACTCCCCTCCCCACCTCACTTTTGGTACTTGCCTTATGCCCATGAGCTCTCTAAGCTTGCTGTGCAGCTGGTATTCTACCACTTGAGCTATATCTCCAGCACTACTTTTTGCTTCTTATTTTGGAGATGGGAGCCCATTTTTCTGACCAGCTAGCTTTGAAGCATCATCCTCCAGATCTCAGCTTCGCAAGTAGCTAGGATAAGTATGAGTCATCAGCACCAAGGGTGAGTGTGTGCGGGCATAAGATTTCAACAAGGGCCTGATACTCTCATTTGGCTTTTTTGCTCAGGCTGTCCTTGAATTAATGACCCTCATGTCTCAGCCTCAGTCATCAAGGTCAAGCATTGAATGGGTCTTTGAAAAGTGGTCTAAGGGCTGAGAATGTAACTTAGTGGTAGAGTTCTTGCCTAGCATGCACGAAGCCCTGGGTTCAATTCCTCAGTACCACATAAACAGAAAAAGCTACAAGTAGCGCTGTGGCTAAAGTGGTAAGAGTGCTAGCCTTGAGCAAAAAGAAATTCAGGGTCAGTGCCCATGTTCTGAGTTCAAGTCCCAGGACTGGGAAAAAGAAAAGAAAACTCGTCTAAATTACTAAAAGAAGAAAACAAGATGTAGTGAAGGAAGCAGTATGCCCTGGCTCACCTGTGCCTTTGATCTGATATGGGTAAAGACTTTATCAGATTAATCTTATCCTCAATTACATTATATTGGTGTTAAAAGTTCAAGATCCCCATCCCTCCACATACATAGCAAATGGGAGCTCACTTTAGGAGATGAGCTCTTAAGAACTAAGCAAGAGTGGTCTAGAGATATGGCTCAAAGTTGTAGGTATCTGTCTAGCAAGCAAGAGCCTATAAACTCTGGTACAAAAAAAGTGAAAATCTAGAAGTACAACTTACTCAGCATTACCATGTCCCAAGTTTCATCTCCAGCACCACTAAGAAACAATTACTAGTAGAGATCAGTCTCCTAACAACAACTATACCAACTATATTGAAAGAAGGGGAAATTTTCAAGAGAATTATAGTATTATTAATCAAAAGTTGGGATAAAGTTGGGCATTGGTGGCTCATGCCTGTAATCCTAGCTACTCCTGAGATCTGAGGATTGTGGTTCAAAGCCAGCCCAGGCAAGAAAGCCTGAGACTCTTATCCCCAATAAAGTACTCAGAAAACTGGAAGTGGCACTGTGGCTCGAGTGGTAGTGTTAGCCTTGAGCTGAAAAGCTGAGAGACAGCACCCAGGCCCAGAGTTCAAGACCCACAACCAAAAAGAAAAAGAAAAAGTTGGAATAAAGCCAGGCACTGGTGGCTCATGCTTATAATCCTGCTAATCAGGAGGCTGAGATCTGAGAATTGCGGTTCAAAGCTAGTCTCAGCAGAAAAATCCTTGAGATTCTCATCTCCAACTGGCCACCAAAAAGCAGGCAGTAGAGCTGTGTCTTAAGTGGCAGAGCTCTAGCCTTCAGCAAAAAAACTCATGGACAGCACCTAAAACCTAGAGTTCAAGCCCTATTAAAAAAAAGAAGCTAATCTCTCAAACCCAGGACCTCATACATGCTAGGCAAACATCTACCAGTTAAGCTACTCACAAGCCATTCAGTGTCTTAATATGTACATTTTCCCCCCAGACCTTCAACCAAGTATTCAACCACTTGAGCCATATTAGCAGCCCTTTTTGGTTTTAGTTATTTTTCAAATACATTCTCACATCTTTTTGTCTAAATAATCTGGACTAGCCTACTATAATCCTTTCTACCTATACTTCCCAAGTAGCTGAGATTACAGATATGTATCACCACTAGTTAACACTTTTACCACTTGATCTACAACTCCACTTCTATCTTTTTTCTGGTTAATTGAAGATAGGGGTCTCACGTTCCTCCCCAGTCTGGTTGAAAACCCTAATTCTCAGATCTCAGCCTCATAAGGAGCTAGGATTATAGATGTGAGCATCAACACCCAGCTTCAGAGACAATTAAATTTCTTGATCAGACAGTCTTCTTTTTTTGGTCAGTATGGAGCTTGAACTCAGGACTTGGGTACTATCCCTGGAGCTCCTTTGCTCAAAGCTAGCACTCACTCTACCACTTTGAGCTACAGTACCACTTCTAACTTTCTGGTGGTTAATTGGAGATAGTCTCATGGGACCTTCCTGCACAGGCAGGCTTTGAACTTCAGTCCTTAGATCTCAGCATTCTGAGTAGGTAGACAATTCTACTCTAGCCTTTTTGCTTACCTTCCCCACTACCACCACTGTTGAATTGTTAGCAGGCAGATAACTTACCTTCCCCATGTTTGTCAGTGAACTGGAAAGCCTGAACTAGTCTCAGAATCTCATCCACAGAGCGGCCAACAGGAAGGTCATTTATAGTTATTTGCCTAAGGATTCCCTTATCATCAATGATAAATAGGCCCCTGGGGAGAAGAGATTGAAGGATTGAGGGGTTAGTACAGGTTTCAATTTTGCTATTACAGCAGAAGAGCATCAAGTCCCAAAGAAATGATCTGGTCTCCAATACTTATATCAGCATTGCCATTAATGATACCCCTCTATTAAAGAATGTAGAAGGTGGGGCTAGGAAGGTAGCTCAGCGGTACGGTGCATGCCTTGCAAGCATGAGGCCCTGGGTTCGATTCCTCAGCACCACATAAGCTAAAAAAGCCGGAAGTGGCACTGTGGCTCAAGTGGTAGAGCACTAGCCTTGAGCTGAAAAGCTGAGGGACAGCTCCCAGGCCCAGAGTTCAGGCCCCATGAATGGACCAAAAAAAAAAGAATGTAGAAGGTAATCTGTTTAGATCCAACTCTAGTTTGCTCCAAACAAATGGTTAACATGATCTTACTAAATGTTATCCCCAGGTATATACCTGAATGAGATGCCTTCATCCGACTTCAAAACTCCATAATCCTGAGCAATGGTACGCTTGGGATCTGATACCAAGGGAATGTTCATAGGACCCAGTCCTCCTTGTTTCTTGGGTGTGTTGATCCTACAGCAAAAGGTACATATATAGTCACATTCATTCATCTCTTCTGTAGCAGAAGAGTTATTAATTGTACCTATTCTTCTCCCCTCTTTTCTATAAGCATGGTTGAGAACAGTTAAGCCCCTTTCCTTCTCTGCTGCCAGGTTATAAGCAATAAAAGAAGTCAGAACCCAGAAGTCAATACTTAATAAGCCAGGCATGATGGCACAGACCTGTGATTCTAGCACTCAGGAGGAAAAGGCAGGAAGATGGAGGCTTAGTTCAATATCAGCTGAAACTACAAAGTGAGACTATCTCAAAACAAATGAACAAAAAACAACAGCCAGGGACTCATGTCTATAATCTTAGCTACTACTCACAAGGCCGAGATCTGAGGACATGGTTCAAGTTCAAAGGCAGCCTGAACAGTAAAGTCTATGAGACTTTTTCCCCCCATCCTGGGGCTTAAACTCAGGGCCTAAAGGCTGTTCCTGAGCCAATTTGTGTTCAAGGCTAATGCTCTACCACTTCAGCCACAGCACCACTTCTGGCTTTTACTGAGTAGTTTACTGGAGATAAAGAGTCTCATAGACTTTTCTGCCTGGGCTGGCTTAGAACATGATCTTCATGTCTCATCTCCTGAGTAGCTAGAATTACAGGCATGAGCCACCAACAGCCAGTCCATGAGACTACCAAAGAAAAAAGCCAGAAGTGGAGCTGTGGCTCAAGTGGTAGAGTGCTAGGCTTGAGCAAGCAAAAGAAGCTCAGGGATAGCACCCAGACCCTGAGTTCAAGCCCCAGGATCAGCAAAACAAAAACAAAAACAAGGAGGCCAGGAATGTAACTCAGTGGTAGAACTCTTTCCTAGCACATATAAAGCTCTGTAGTTCAATCCCCAGCACCAGAAAAGAAAAATACACATAAACCATGTACCATTACCTATAATACTATAATCATAAGTACTCGGAAGGCTGAAATCTGAAAGATCAGAGTTTGAAGGAGTTAGTACAGATGCCATCTCCAATAACCAGCAAAAACCTGGCAGGAAGCATGGAATACTGGTTGAGCAATCAGGCTAAGCAAGCTCAAGGACCTAAATTCAAACTCCAGTACTGGTAACAAAAATAAAAGTCCACGTTGCTAGGCATGATGGCACATACTTATAACTCCAGCTACTCAAGAAGGTGAGGTTGGAAAATAATTAATTTAATCCCAGAATCCCAGTGTGGGAAGCATCTCAAGACCCAATATCAAAAAAAAAAAAAAAAGAGCCTAAATACTAAATGGACTGAGATATTTACCATGCCAGATGACAGAAGTGAGAATCCACAGAAGCACCAATCACTTGACAGTTGAGTTTCTTAAATTCTTCTGCTCTATCACTGAAAGCAATGATCTCCGTAGGACACACAAAGGTGAAGTCAAGAGGGTAAAAAAAGAACACAACGTACTTCCCTAAAGGGAAAAATAGATGTCACAGGTTAGCCTTCAAACAGTTTTCTCTTATGAATAAGTCAAAAAGTCAAACATATTTTCCTACTGAAAGAATTTTCTTTTTCTTTTTCCTTTTGGGGGGATGGAAGGGAGGAGTAGCAGTACCAGGGCTTTCAAAACCTAGAACTTTCCCTTACCTCTTTTGCTCAGTGCTAGTGATCTACCACTTGAATCACACCTCCACAATTTACTGGTCAACTGGAAATAAGAGTCTCACAGATCTGTTTGCCCAGGCTGGCTTACATTAATGGCAAACACAGTATTATCACTCAATGCTAGAATATTCACAGTATCTGTCTCCTAGTAATTTTTTTTTGGGGGGGATTGGTCATGGGGCTTGAACTCTAGGCCTGGGTGCTGTCCCTGAGCTCTTCAGCTCAAGGCTAGTACTCTGTGACCACTTGAGCCACAGCGGCACTTCCGGATTTTTCTTTTTGTTTATGTGGTGCTGAGCATTCGAACTCAGGGCCTCATGCATGCGAGGCAAGCACTCTACTGCTGAGCCATCTTCCCAGCCAAACTCTGGGCCTGGGCACTGTCTCTAATAATTATTTTTATAATTTATTATACCAGGATGCTCTGAGTTAAAAAAAGTAAGACCTGAGGCTGGGAAGTTGGCTCAGTGGTAGAAATGCTTGCCTTGCATGCCTGAGGCTCTGGGTTCTATTCCTCAGCACCACATAAGCAAAAAAGAAAAAAGCTGGAAAGTGGCGCTGTGGCTCAAGTGGTAGAACACTAGCCTTGAGCTGAAGAGCTGGGGGACAGCACCCAGGCCCAGAGTTCAGGCCCCATAACCGGACCCAAAAAAAAAAAAAAAAAGACCTCTAGTCCTATGATTTACTCTCCTATCAATTTGTTTTTAGCTGCCAACTGAAGAATACTTTTTTTTTTTGAAGAATACTTTTAAGTCCAATTTTTTGTCTTCTGAGTTGCTAACAGCATAAACACCAAGTTATTCAATGAAGAAAAGCAAAAACAACGATACGATTATTTACTAAATGGCTCAATACCAATGCTTACAGTGTCCAGAAAATTCTGGTGTGCTGGGTTCTCAAGAACAATGGGGCTGGGAGCCAGTAGTTGATACTTATAATCCTAGCTACTCAGGATCCAGCTACTGTGATCCCAGTTCATAGCCAGCCCAGGCAAGGAAATCCATGAGACTCTTATCTCCAATTAACTACCAAAAAGCCAGAAGTGTAGGGCAATAGCCTTGAGCAAAAAAGCTCAGGGATAGTGTCAAGGCTGTGAGTTCAAGCCCCAGACCAGCACACACCCAAAAAAAAAAGGGTGGGGGGGAGAAGGAGGTAAGAGAAAGTCAAGCCAAGCATTTTAGTACTTGCCTGGATTCCCAGCACTCAGACAATGAGGCAAGAGAACCAGAGTTTCAGGCTATCAGTGTGGGAAACACAGTAAGACACTATCTCTTCCCTATCCCCATAAAAGGGAGTCAAGGTTCTTTATAGTTCTACAACAGTAATGGGATGGTAAGGTTAAATAATCTCACTAATCATAAAAAATATGCATCTACCAAGAAAGTACTAGTAGTAGCAAGATTTCTAAGACTTCTGACTATAATTTTATTTTAGTCATTCAAGACTGTCACTGAATTAGATCTTCAAAAACTGGTCACACATCTAATGTACCGAACTACTGGAGCATTTCCAAATATTCACTTATTTCCAGGTAGCAGTAATATTTTCAAATTTCTTTTTAATCCCTTGAGTCATCTAAATAAGTCTCTCCAGTGCTTTAAGAAGCACTTTTTTTTCTCAAGGCATGTGAAGTCTCAACAAGTCAAGGCCTGGAGGGCAGAGAGCATTGCTCATTCCAAACAATGTACCTTTATCCATGGTCCTCTCTTTATGAGGTTACTTACCATGTTGGCCATTAAGTGATTTTTTTTTCCATAGGGCCCTACTTACCTCCACTCATCTGAAAGACTGTGACATGTCAGAACTTAACTGAAGGTTTTACCCAAAAGCCAACTTAAGAAACAAGTTCTTTTTTGTGTGTGTGTTTTGGCCAGTCATGGGGCCTGAACTCTGGGCCTGGGCGCTATCCCTCACCTCTTCAGCTCAAGGCTAGTGCTCTACCACTTGAGCCATAGCACCACTTCTGGCTTTTTCTGCTTATCTGATGCTGAGGAATGGAACCCAAGGCCTCATGCATGCAAGGCAAGCATTATACCACTGAGCCACCTTCCCAGCCCTCCTTTCTTCATATTTTAAATCTGCTAGTTAATTGGAGGTGAGAGACTTCAGACTTTCCTGCCAACTCTGGCTTTAATGACAATCCTCAGGTCTCAGCCTCTGGAGTCATTAAGATTAGAGGTATGGGATACCATGGCAAAGCCTCAGGTTTGCATTTTTAAAAAATTTCAGGAGACCATTCTGATTTCAACTGCAAAGCAAGGAAGTTAAAGTCTTGATAGGATTTGTCAAGTATTTGCACTCAACTATGAAACCAGAACAGGGAGTTTTGTTTTGTTTTTGCCAGTCCTGGGGCTTGAACTCAGCATCTGGGCACTGTCCTGAGCTTTTTTTGCTCAAGGCTAGCATTCTACCACTTGAGCTACAGGGACACTTCCAGCTTTTCTGTTTATGTGGTACTTAAGAATCAAACCCAGGGTTTCATGCATGCTAGGCAAGCCCTCTACCATTTTTTTTTTTTTGGCGGTTGTGGGGCTTGAACTCTGGGCCTGGGCGCTTGTCCCTCAGTTCTTCAGCTCAAGCGAGCGCTCTACCACTTGAGCTACAGCACCACTTCTGGTTTTCTAGTGGTTTATTGGAGATAGGAGTCGCACGGTCTCTCCTGCCCGGGATGGCTTTGAACTGCCATCCTCAGATCTCAGCCTCCAGAGTAGCTAGGATTACAGGCGTGAGCCACTGGCGCCCGGCCAAGCCCTCTACCATTAAGCCACATTCCCATCCCCAGAAAGGGAAGTTTTAACAATGCTTCTCCAGGGGCAACAGTTCAGGGAATCTCCCTAATCCCTCTCCATAGTAACATTAGTGCTGTGATGCACATATTTCACAAACAAGAAAACTCCAAAGACCTGAGATCTGAAATTAAGTGTAGATTACAGGAGACAATGAGGATTTCTCCAATAATATAATTGAGAGGAAAAATTGGGCTAGTGCTTCAAAATATAATAAAGTATGCTTTCTCTAGAAGCAATAGGGACCTAGGACACCTACCCCCATGATCCCTGTTGATAATCATATTTCACTTTCATATTAATCTTCTGTTCTAAAAACTATCCTAGGAAACATAAAATGTTTTTTACACTTAAGAAACACGAATCTAGGGGCTGGGAAGGTGGCTCAGTGGTAGACCACTTGCCTTGCATGCATGAGGCCCGGGGTTCGATTCCTCAGCACCACATAAGCAAAAAGAAAAAAAGCCAGAAGTGGCGCTGTGGCTCAAGTGGTAGAGTGCTAGCCTTGAGCTGAAGAGTTGAGGGACAGTGCCCAGGCCCAATGACCGGACCCCCCCCAAAAAAGAAAAGAAAGAAAGAAACACAAATCTAGCAAACCATCCCAAATTCTATTAATAAGTCCCACATCATTACTCTTACCTTTGTAGTCAGCAAGACTTATATCTTTAAACTGACCATCTGGCATAACAGCTGTAGCTCTGAAGCTGGGAGCAGGGTGCCCAATTTTGGCATTTCCCGAGGACATCTTCCTATCAGCTAGAAAGCATAACAGAAATGACATTAGAAAACAAGTTTGTTAGCCGGGTGCTGGTGGCTCACGCCTGTAATCCTAGCTACTCAGGAGGCTGAGATCTGAGGATCGAGGTTCAAAGCCAGCCTGGGCAGGAAAGTCCATGAGACTCTTTTTGTTGTTGTTGGTCATGGGGCTTGAACTCAGCCTCAACACTGTTCCTCAGCTCTTCAGCTCAAGGATAATGCTCTATCACTTGAGCCACTGCACCGCTTCGGGTTTTCTGAGCCGTTTATTGGAGGTAAGAGTCTCAAGGACTTTCTCAGCTCAGCCTGTAAGACTTTATCTAGGCTGGGATGTAGCTCAGTGGCAAAGCGCTTGCCTAGCAAGTGCAACGTCCTGGGTTGGATCCCCAGTACCAAAAAAGAAAAGACAAAAAAAATACAATTAAAAAAACCCCAAACAAAATACTTTATCTAAATTTCAGGTCCAATTAACTAGCAAAAAGCCAAAAGCCGTGGCTAAAGTAGTAGAGAGCCGTGAAGTGAAGACTTATTGGGGGTGTGGACACACATACACCAAACAACCCCAGCACAGGTGGATCACACCTGTAATCCTAGCTTCCTAGGAGACTAAGATCTGAGGATCCCTGTTCAAAGCGGGCCTGGGCAGGAAAGCCTTTGAGACTTTTATTTCCAGGTAAAAAAAAAAAAAACAAAAAAAAAACATTCGGGTCTGGGAAGATGGCTCAGTGGTAAGAGTGCTTGCCTTGCATGCATGAGGCCCTGGGTTCAATTCCTCAGCACCACATAAGCAAAAAGAAAAAAGCTGGAAGTGGTGCTGTGGCTCAAGTGGTAGAGTGCTAGCCTTGAGCTGAAGAGCTGAGAGACAGCGCCCAGGCTCAGAATTCAGGCCCCACAACAGGACAAACCCTACCAAAAAGCCAAAGTGGAGGGGCTGGGAAGGTACTCACTGGTAGAGTGCTTGCCTGGCATGCATGAGGCCCTGGGCTCGATTCCTTAGCACCACATGAGCAGAAATAGCCAGAAGTGGTGCTCTGGCTGGAGTGGTGGAGTGCTAGCCTTGAGCTGAAGAGCTGAGGGATGGCATTCAGGCCCCACGGGAATCCCAAGAGGGAAAGTGAGTGAGGTGTAATGGGGTGGTTGGGGAAAAACAATGGAGGGAGTAACAATACTCGACAGGAAATGGACTCATTACCTTCCTCATGTAACTGTAAAGTATCTTTACAATAAATATATATATATATATATTAAATGAAAATCCCAAGAAACTATTTTCCAAGTTACAAAGTTCTTTCTTTTTTTTTTGTCGGTCGTGGGGCTTGAACTCTGGGCCTGGGCGCTGTCCCTCAGCTCTTCAGCTCAAGGCAAGCGCTCTACTACTTGAGGTACAGCGCCACTTCCGGTTTTCTGGTGGTTTATTGGAGATAGGAGTCTCACGGTCTCTCCTGCCCGGGCTGGCTTTGAACCGCGATCCTCAGATCTCAGCCTCCTGAGTAGCTAGGATTACAGGCGTGAGCCACCAGCGCCCGGCTACAAAGTTCTCTCTTCTAATACCATAACCAAAAAAAAAAAAAAACTGGGAACATTCATCATCACAAACTTTCTGTTTAGAATCTTTAGCTTCTTGAAACGTTTTGTTACCTCAAGTTTAGAAAGGAAAAAGCTTTAGCGATGTTAAAGGCTGCGCCATCAAATACAGGGTATTTCCTTCTAGTCCAGCGCGGCTTTGTAAGGTGTTTCTCCCCCGCGCCGCCCCTCCAACGTCCAAAGCCCCACCAATCCCGGAAAAGACTGACTTCCGGCCAGTGCCTGGACCAGATCACCCAAGGGACTGTCCCGAAGCCCAGCGTGGGCTACGCCTCAAATCCCACCTCAGGTCTTCGGAAAACCGCACAAAGTACACTAGCCCTTTCGGCCGCGCCAATCAACACCCACTGCTCTTATGGCTTGGGCAAGAGGAGACTCGACGTTAGCCTCGGGGTTACAAGTGCCCTCACCCACGGTAACCAGCGGGCGGTAGGCCTCGCTCAGCCGCCTCACCCCAACAACCCCGGCTGAGCCCCAGCCGATAGGGAGAGGAAAGGCAAAGGCGACTAGCCCGGCATGAGGGGAAGCGCTGAACCTTGCTCCACGGAGGTAGCGACACTCGCATACTTACTCGTGCGGGCGGACCCACAACTCGCGAGACAGCAGACACAACGACGCAGCAAAAAGAGAACGCGCGAAGTACGCGCGGGGCGCTCCTTTTATAGCCTACCGGGCTCTCGCGAGAACCCGAACGGGCCAGGGGTGCGAGAGAAGTGGAGAGGAGGGGGAATCCGAGCCCCGCCCGGCCCCGGCCCGCCCCTGCCGCCCCCAGAGGATGACTCAGCATTTTAACTTGTTAGGCCTAGGGTGGCCTTAGGAAAAACCAACTTCCTTTCCCCGCCCCCAGTGGCAGAAGTCGGTCGGTGGAGAGAGGTCCTCTCGGCCGCCCCGCCTTTAACTTGTGTTTCCTGCTGGGGACGCGGCCTCGCTTTTTCTTCCAAAACATGCTTTTCCTACTAGAGTCACACCAACGGTGTGAGGATCTTCGCTGCTGCCCAGGAACACCCCGTCGAGTCACACTAAGTCCTGAGAACCGTCCACTAAGTTTGTCGGGGACCCACAGTCCCAGCCGGCCGCTGACCCGCGGGGCCCTCTCCCTCTCCCTTCTCAGTAACCTCCACTACTTAAGTCACCTCCTCCATTACGGGGACGTACTGGGATTACAGAGGTGCTGCTTTTCCAGCCATGGTTTCCACCGAGGTTGAAAGAAGTCTTTCTGAATCCGATCCCGTCACTCCTCTGATTTGTGGTTTTAAAAACTGGGGCCCTGCAAGCCCGCTTCCTGAGTTACATAGCTCCTGGCTTTCATTGTGTTTCTTAAGGTTTACTTTTCTCACCTGTGAATAGGAATAATACTAATCCTTAAGTCATTAAAAAATAATTTACGTGGCTGATTTAGCACAATACCTAGTTCTTACTGTGCATTAGAAATGTTAACTAGTAGCTATAATTAACTCCTTTTTAAACTTTTATTATCCTCATCACAACCACCCTGAACAGAGCCTAAACAGAAGCCTGTCAGCTTTTGTTCCAGTTCAGGGAACCCATTCCTTCCTAGGTGGCTCAAAGTCTCAGCTAAAACATTACTTCCTCTAAAGTTCCAGACTTTGATTTATACCCAGAATTCCTCGTGTTACTGAATTGAATTAATCTGGCCATTGACCATCCCCCTCCTTTGTGCCCAAGCAATAACCAGCCCAGCCATAAGGGAGAGAGAGAGAGAGAAAGAGAGAGAGTGTGCACTTGAGGTACTTTACTTGATTACATGTCTGCTCTCTCCCCCAGACTTTCTGCATGATTGGATTTGTGTCACATTCACCTCTAAGACCTCAAGTCACACTACAGCATTTGATATAATTTGATATACAGTAGAACCTTGGTGAGGCTTTGGTGAGTATTTAATAAATAGTATTTTGTCTCTCTCCTGAACTCAGTTGGTCCTTATTGTAGGATAAGAAATAGAAAAACAGGGGCTGGGAAGGTAGCTCAGCGGTAGAGCGCTTGCCTTGCATGCATGAGGCCCTGGGTTCGATTTCTCAGCACCACATAAACAGAAAAAGCCGGAAGTGGCGCTGTGGCTCCAGTGGTAGAGCGCTGGCCTTGAGCTGAAGAGCTGAGGGACAGAGCGCTGGCCTTGAGCTGAAGAGCTGAGGGACAGCGCCCAGACCCGGAGTTGAGGCCCCATGACCAGCAAAAAAAAGAAAAGTGCTTTGTCATGCTGGCTGAGCATCTCAATTTTGTGGTATGTATCATCTCTAACAACTAGTGTTGGTTTTTTTCTTCTCCATCTGAGGTCATACAATTATTTGTCATTTCTCTCTTGTGGAAGCAGGGATAGTCTTATAAGTTCAGAGCTTTTAAAAAAAAATTTTTTTTTGAGTTCTGGAGAATAAACCCTAGCTGTTACACATGTTGGTACTACTGAGTTACAACCCAAAGCCTATAACTATCCATTGCCATACTCTGAACTTTGAGACTGTGATATAGTTTGGTGTTAGAGTGTTTGCCTTGTCTGAGTAAGACACTGGGTTCAATCCCCAGCGTTGTAATAGCCATGGTAATAGTAGTAGTAATAATATATATAATTATTTATATAAAACATATATATTAGTAATATTAATGAAGATGAATATTGTTATGGATAGCCTGAACATTCCTACATAAATCAGAAAAAAAATTACCATCTATTTATCTACCATGTGCCAAAGTACTGGCTAGATATTAATGTTTGTTTCATTTAAGAACCAAGAATTAGCTGGTGAGACCATGGCTCATGCCTATAATCCTAGCTACTCATTATGTTGAGATCTGAGGATCACTGTTCGAAGCCAGCCAGGGCAGGAAAGTCCATGAGTCTTTAATCTCCAATTAACCACCAGAAAACCAGGAGTGGAGCTGTGGCTCAAGTGGTAGAGTTTTTGCCTTGAGCTAAAGAGCTCAGGGACAGTACCCAGACCCAAAATCCAAGTCCCACAAGCAGGGGTTGGGGGTGAGAATTAATAATCTACCCCATAGAAATAAGTTGAAAGGAAAAAAAGAAAGCGGAGGTTGGGGGTGTAGCTCATGTCTCAAATTAGGCTCTGAATTTGATCCCCAGTCAGGGAAAAAGGAAAGGAGGAAGAAGAAATTACTCTAAAAAGTGATTATGGAATCTCCCTTGAAGACAGTGAAGATTTCAGAATCACTAGAGAGGAAGGACTGAACTATTTTTATACAAATCCCATTGTGTTCACATTTGTTTATAGGAGTATTAAAGGATCCTTTGTGTTTATCATTGTGGTAGTAAATTTAGGATCTATGCTAGAAATTACTTGAACTGTATTTTAGGAAGATAACTTTGGCAATTGTGTGATGGATGAACATTGATTAGAGAGACCAATTGAGGGGATGTAATGTGACACTGGAAACTGAGAGAGAAGGAAAGAAATACAGGAATACTTCTACAGGCTTTAGGATTAATTAGATTTAGGTTGAGAAGAAAGTATATTTATGATTCCTTGATTTCCAGTGACAGGAAATATTGTAAAGAAGCAGATTTGTGGTTAAATATAATGGTAAATGGAGGCTCAGTGGTAGAGTGCTGCCTAGCATGTGAGGTTCTGGGTTTGATCCCTGGCATCCAAAAATAAAAATAAAACAATGATTACTTAGATAAGCCACTTAATGCCCAAAGAATTAAATTGTCTAAGACCATACTTAATGGTTATTTGAAGCTGATTTCATCCTAGGTAGCAGAACTATCAGTTGTATAATATGCAAATATAATACAGTGAATTCTCTGTGATTTATGCTTCTTGGAGTTGTGCCTCAGCATAGTCTGACAAAGCCAAGTGAATTCACAGTCCACTTTGTGGTTTGTGTGTGTGTGTGTGTGTGTGTGTGTGTGTGTGTGTTTGTGTGTGTGTTTGTGTATTAATACTGGGGCTTGAATTCAAAAAAGAATGGGTACCATGGTTCATGCTTGTAATCCTAAATACTCAGGAGGCTGGGATTTGAGGAATGCAATTCAAAGCCAGCCCTGGCAGAAAAGTCCTTGAGACTCTTTAGTAAACTACCAGAAATCAGGAAGTGGCACTGTGGTTCAATGGTAGAGCACTAGCCTTGAGCTGAAGAGCGCAGGGACAGTGCCCCAGCCCAGAGCTCAAGCCCCATTACCCACATCCAAAAAGAAAAAAAAAAAAAATATCACAAGTAGTAAGACTGAGTAGAGGTATATAGAAAGAAATTAAGTTTTGGGGCTGGGAAGGTGGCTCAGTGGTAGAGTGCTTGCCTTGCATGCATGAGGCCCAGGGTTCGATTCCTCAGCACCACATAAGAAAAAAGAAAAAAGTCGGAAGTGGCGCTGTGGCTCAAGTGGTAGAGTGCTAGCCTTGAGCTAAAGAGCTGAGGGACAGCGCCCAGGCCCAGAATTCAGGCCCCACGACCGGACCCAAAAAAAAAAAAAGAAAGAAATTAAATTTTGAATAGAAATATCAGGTTTTTGTTTTTGAGACAGGGTCTCACTATATATCTTAGGCTGGCCCTGGAATTTAGGATTCTCCTGCTTCAGGCTAGTAAGTACTGGGATTATAGCCATACATCACCAACCTTGTCTATCTTGGAAAAACATTTTTTTGTTTTGTCTGTCATGGGGCTTGAAGTGAGGGTTTGGGTGCTGTCTCTGAGCTCTTTTGCTAAAGGTGCTCTACCACTTTGAGCTGTAATTCTACTTCCAGTTTTCTGGTGGTTAACTGGAGATACAAGTCTCATGAACTTTTCTGACTGGTCTGGCTTTGAGCCACAATCCTCAAATCTAAGCCATTAGCAAGCACATGGCTTCGGCTAGAAAAGCATTCTTGAGGATTCCCAAGACTGGCTTAATTTGTTTGGTTCATTCATTTAAAAGTTGCCCAGAAGGGGCTGGGAAGGTGGCTCAGTGGTAGAGCGCATGCCTTGCATGCCAGAGGCCCTGGGTTCGATTCCTCAGCACCATATAAGCAAAAAGAAAAATGCCGGAAGTGGCTCAAGTGGTAGAGCACTAGCCTTGAGCTGAAGAGCTGAGGGACAGCGCCCAGGCCCAGAGTTCAGGCCCCATGACCGGACCCAAAAAAAAAAGAATCGTCTCACAAAAGTTGCCCAGAAGCCTTGAGCTGAAGAGCTGAGGGACAGCGCCCAAGCCAGAGTTCAAGTCCTAGGACCAACAACAACAAAAAAAAGCCACCGGGCAGGAGAGACTGTGAGACTCCTATCTCCAATAAACCACCAGAAAACCGGAAGTGGCACTGTAGATCAAGTGGTAGAGTGCTCGCCTTGAGCTGAACAGCTGAGGGACAGCGCCCAGGCCCAGAGTTCAAGCCCCACGACCGACCAAAAAAAAAAAAAAGTTGCCCAGAATTCTGTTTCCTGAAAATGTTTACCTTGTTAATGATTACTACTCTTGCTGATGAGCTATTGAAAATTGCTATATATAAAACAATAGCCTCCATGAATATAATCCTGACTGCTACCAAGGCATTCCTTTTGCCTTTACGTACCTATTTTATTTACACCCTAGGATAGTGACTCAGTTCTTCCTTCACTTTTTTCTCTGTACAAGGTACCATCAAACATTACCTCATAGTTTCCTTTGACATTATCTGGCCTTGACTTAAAGCAGTACTTGCCTCTGGCCCTAATTTGCAATTGGAGACAGTTA